TGTTTTGTAAGATGAAGCACTGATGCTGAGCACTGCACCCTTTGCCAGATGATTTCCATAGTGGAGAAACTCTAGACTTTAATGTGAGAGCTCAAGCAGTTCCTGGGATGTAGGTGCTGGGACAGAACCCTTTCTGGGAGACTGTCAGGTGTGATGCCAGAAGTGTCTTCCACGGTGGAAATGGTGGTTTGTAGCCAGATTGGCCTTTAGGATCTGGCAGACAGATTTCTCAGTGGGAGGCTGGTTAACCTGCTTATGCTGTCAAGTCTAGACATCACACTGTACCTAATCCAAGTTGTCCATGTGATCTTGGATCCTGGGCATGAGCAGTGAGGAGGGATGAGTTAAAAGATGCAGCAGGTACAGTGTTTTTATCGTGGCCTAATCCTGACTTAGGTAGGCTCCTCAGTTCACTCCAGTGAATAGATGTACCCAGAGAATTAGTGCCTGGAGCCTCCTGACTTGTAAATCTATTCAACCAACCTCTGTCCTCTTCACACTCAGTCCGCAATTCCAACAAGAGAATATCCTGTGATGAGGAATTCTCTGACTCAGAGGACGAAGGGGAAGGAGGGCGCAAAAACGTCGCCAACTTTAAGAAAGCCAAGCGTGTGAAGGCAGAGGAGGAAAAGGAGGAAGAGGAGAAAAAAGGTGAGCGGGAGAGCTGGGACCTGGAGCTCTGCCTGGCTGGTACTTTCCCACTGCACTGCCGTGTGTCTTTGTTTTTTCCTAGATGAGAAGGAAGAGGAAAAAGCGAAAGAGGAGAAAGCAGAACCCAAAGGGTGAGTCTGGAGTCTGCTGGCAGGGTTGAGGGGTTGGTGTGGCAGCTTGGCTGGCTTTGGCACAGGTTCTTAACGGGCAGAAGTCTGCAGGTGTTGAGCAGCCCACCTGATAAAACACTGTGAGAGCCTTCTCAGGGCTCAAAAATGCTGCTTAAAAAATCAAAATCAAAACACTGCACCTCCGTTCAGCAGTATGTTATAAATTTTAGCTGAAGATGGGCCAGATGAGCAGCACTTCTAAGGCTGCAGCTCTGGCTTGTTGTTAGAGCCTGGGCACAGCTCAAGCTGCCTGTTTAAACCAAATCCTTTCCTTCTTGCTTCCCCAGGGCGAAGGAAGAGCCAAAATCCACCTGAGCTGGACGGGCCTGTCCGTGCGTAGTTTGTCGTAGGTTTTTAGCTCCCGGGTTGCCTCCTATTCCACAGGATTTATATTTTATATATGTTTCTGTATATATTTCTATATAATTGTATAAATGACTTGAGGACTGTAAATTATTCCTTGCTGCACTCCTCGCTGGGAGCAGAGGGGAGGATTCTGCGGAGCAGCCAGACCTGCACTGCCCAGATTTGGTGACTGGGAAGTTTTCACTCTTGCCTTCCACTGCCTCCTTAGTGTGTCTGTAAACAAAAAAACAAACAAACAAACAAACAAATCACTTCCTTTACTCTCTCCTCTGAAATAACCTTGGAAAAGAATAATTTAAGTAGAAGTAGTATCTGCATTTCAGGTTAGGTGGAAAGATGGCCATGAATTCTTTTTGTTTGTTTTTTTTATTCTTCTTCTTTTTTTTTTTTCTTTTTTTTTTTTGGTGGTGTTTTATGGGAGAATCCGAGTTCCCAGTTGAAGCCTGTGAGAGACTATTCCTTTGGTCTTCAGTTTGATTCCACTGTGGCAAGTTAACTGCAAGCTGGTGCCACTTCTCAGGGTCAAATAGTGCAGTTCTTGAATAGAGTTGGTTCCTCCCTGCAGCAAACTCGTGGAAAGAGATGAAGCAGCTTAAAAACAACCTGAAAAGTGATTTTTTTTTATTTTATTTTTTCTTTTTTAAGTGAATCAGCCCCAGAGCCCAGATCTGGAAAATGCAGAATGAAAACCACCCCGTGTGTGGTGGCTCAGTTTTCCAAGATCTGGCAGATCCAGGGAGTGTGGCAGCATTATGCACCTCGAGGAAGGGAAGGGATGGAGCTTTTATACCTGTTTTTTTCTATACCTGTGCCCCTCTTTGTGGGGGGGGAAGTGAGTTACTGCCCCTTTGGCTTTGTTTTTCCTGCTTTTCTGCCCTTGGCTCCCAGCACTGATCCGTGTCCTGGGCTGAAACCACTGCAGAAATCCCCAATCCCTCTCCAGCCCAGCCCCCAGCCTGGCTGAGAACTTCAGTTGATGTGTTGTTAACTGACTGAAATACTATTTTTTTTTTTTTCGACCTGAAGTTACAAACGTTTTCAAATTGAATTTTCCTCCCAAGGCCAGTAAATACGAAGAACCTTTTTTTTTTTTTTTTTTTTTGCTCTTTCTTTACGCGGCAGCATTTTTTTTTTTTTTTAACTTTTTGAATTTTTTTTTTTTTTTTTTCGACCTGAAGTTACAAACGTTTTCAAATTGAATTTTCCTCCCAAGGCCAGTAAATACGAAGAACCTTTTTTTTTTTTTTTTTTTTTTTTTTTTTTCCTT